CTTTCCCCAACAAGAAATTTTAGCAGCCACCACGCCAAATCCAACTTCCTTGCCTTGTCTCATCCATTGCCATTTCAGAACATCACTCGACCACCATGGTTGGCAACATGCAGGTTGATCGTGATCAGCCTAGCCATAGCACAGCTATTCAAGGAGGTACAAGCTGGCTCCTAATTTTATTGACTAGCTGGCATAACTTTTGCATTATTTTCAAATTTTCTACTCTGAGCTATCTTCATTAGAATGCTAAAATCATAGCGCCAAAATGGATGCTCTGTAATCCCCACCGATGGAATTCCTGTTGTTTTCAGCTTTTTCAACTGATAACTCGCCGGTACCGATACATCTCCTTCGAGAACGCCCTCGAATGCTTCATTTATTCGTCAGCCATCATCTCGCTGAGAGACTTATCACCTTGCTCCGAGACTACCGGTATACGAATGGTAAGCGGCCGTTCTCTATGCACTCCCCTATTGTTTTATTGATGACCAGGGTCTTCAAGCTCTTTGCTTGCAGTTGTGAATTCAACTAATTCAGAGTTGTTGCACAGGAACTCCATGGAAGTTTAACGTACCTTTTTGATCATTTTCACTTGTCAACTAGTTTTAATCAATATAGATTCTTACCCACATCAATTGTAGTTATCTGCCTCAATTGTCAGTCTGGGCTCATTCTGCTCGCTACTAGCAGATATGTAGGACAGAGGCTTCTTGCCTCTTCAAAAGTCCCTCAGAAGTCTTCGAACGCGACAGAGTTTCCCTCTTCTCAATATACTCGAATACGCGGGTAGCGCGACGGTCACAAGGAATTCCTACACAAAAGGAATGAAATCAACTGTGTTACAGGAATCGGACCTTTCGATCATAGAAGAACCCTAAAGCTCGATCAGCTCTTTCGATCAGTTTTCTCTACTTCACCCTAGGTCTTGTAGGCTGGTTTAATTCTTGAAGGGTTCCTAGAAAAGTTTCAAAAAATTAAATAACCAGGGGATGCAAAATAAAGTTTTTCCTCAAGGTTATGTTCTCGGGAAGCAGTGTAGACGATTTACCCGAAAACCTCCTATGTTGTTCTCGTGATATTTCACTTTTTCTGCGGAAGCGTTTACGGAAATTTGTTTCTCGGCTAGTTGTTACCTCAGGAGTTGGTTAGTAAAAGCCTTAAACCCTTCGGTTCGAGAAGCTGTCGTTGGCGAGTTTTGAGTCTGACAGAACATCCAAAAAAGAAAACTTCATTTTAGCTCATCCTCAAAGGTAGGATAATGAATTAATGTTTCATAACATGAGCCTCTAAAACTTATGGGCCACGCGGTCGATAATCGATTTCCTGGAAGGGCACCAATAGAGGCTGCAACTTCATTTGTCCTTGTCAATCAGACCTAGAGTATTTCCAGCGCTATTTTTCGGTTGACTTTCTTGGTGAAAATCGTCCTAATCGCCCAGAGATTATAAAGGAAACTTGAACGTTTGAGTCAGCCATGCCTAACGGCGCTATCTCTGTAGTCAGTCCGTGATATGAGTTCAAAAATGGAAGGTTTTGTTCACCCACTAGAAAGAAACCGTTTCGCCATGGAGCATGTAGAGCTATCTATAGTAACTTTTTAGTAAGTTCCATCAACCAAACTTGTCCTAAAAACCAGCGCTGCCACTTTTATTCTCCATTATGTTACTTCCAGAATTGGCAATGGCTTTTGGCAGCTGCGTGTGCCTTTTCGTCGTGGATGAACCTCTTGCTTCTGATCAGGAAACTTCCCAGGTATTGCTCTGTGATCCACTCCCAATTCTGTTTACTCAACGTGAAAAGCCTTTACAGATTCGGCATTTATGTGGTGATGTTTTTCGACGTTCTGCGAACATTCTCGCGGTTCTTCATCGTTTTCGCGTTGTTCGTGATTGCCTTCAGTATTGCATTCTTCGTTATCATGCAGAATCGGGTAAGTCACTTGCTCCATGAGGTTTCTTCTCTGATATTTTCCATTCAGCCTGAGTTCTCCTCTGTACCGTCCTCTGTGCTAAAGACTACAGTGATGATGATCGGTGAGTTTGAGTTCACCGCCATCTTCCACGGCGATGCTGATGTGCATCCGGAACGGCTATTCGGTCACGCCATTGCCTATCCTCTGTTTCTCTTCTTCTGTGTCATCATGACTATTCTTCTGATGAATCTTCTGGTAATTTTGACATTTCTGTCTCCTAATTTTTTCGAAAGAACTTCCCTCTTTCAGGTTGGTTTGGCTGTAGATGATATCAAATCTGTACTGGAGGAGGCCAAGCTAAAGAGGCTGAGCATGCAGGTGCGAATTTTGCAACTCTATAGGGGAATGCTGACAATATTGTCTCAAAGAGGAGCTTGGAATAGTTCCCCTTGACCCGTCATCTAAAAGTGTTTTGAAGGGTAATGGTAGAGGTAAAAGTCTTCCGGCGTTCAACGGTCCCTCTGAGGGTCCCCTGTATTGACTTCAGTTAAAGCCACAGTTCAAGATAATTTTGAGGTGCCACTTTTTCAGTCTAGAAGCGGAAGTATAAATCAGGAATAGTTCATCGGTAATGAAAAAGCAAGAAAATTCGTCGATTTCGAGAAAAATAAGGCTCCTCAAAAGGTGAAAATAGTGCTTGGACGAGATTTCCATGACGAAAATAAAATGGAAGAGGTATTCGGACGAGATTTCAT